TTTTATTGCATGACATGATGTTTTTTTAGAAATGTTTAAATTATTCCACTTCAATTGTACTTTTATTAATTATTTAGTCTTAGAGCATGTACTAAACGTCTGCGTAATCGTCCCATTTTTGCTGTACCTTTTAGTGGAGTTAACCAATGTAAACGTAGTTTTATCTCCAGGATTCCTGTGCAATACAATTATATTTCTTCACTTGATAATGTCCACATTATCAAGTGAAGAAATATAATTGTATTGCACAGGAATACAATTATATTTCTTCACTTGATAATGTGGACATTATCAAGTGAAGAAATATAATTGTATTGCACAGGAATACAATTATATTTCTTCACTTGATAATGTCCACATTGATATTTTCTTCCACAGCTACGCCAAATTTCGTCGGATTGTTCTCCAGATGGAGTCTTGAGTTTTTGAGGGTGGTGGCTGTTCTTCTTGGCGTGGCTGTGGCAGTTAAAGCCTTTTTATCTTCTTTTTTGTACATTTATACTTTTACTTTTTTATATATTTTTATTAAGTAATTTATTCTCCTGTAAGTTGTAAACCAATCAGAATGCTGGGATATTACTTCATTCAGGGCAACTTACAATGGGCTCAACTTACCACCTACAGAAAATATAGCCGCCGGTGACATGTAGCGCAGACGCACACATGGTTTGGAATTATGTTACTTCGCGAAACCTTTGTAAACACTAGAACGTGTGACGATGTTCTCTGTCGATTAATAAAGTTTCGAAGGCGTACCAGAGGTTTTTTTTTTTGTTTTTTGTTTTTTTTAATTCTCAATAAAAACAACCATTGAACAAGAAAATGATAGACTATAGATCGTTAAATATGTAGGTATAAGATACTTTGCTGAAGTTGTACAGGCCCAGGCCTGTTCTAGGCTACATTATATCCTAAGAAGTGTCGCCCGCCGGCTGTGTGATGCCAATTTTTTGGGCTTAAAACAAAGCCTAAATGGCCTTTGACAAGTGGGGAGCTGGAATCTCAGCACTCCTGAAATGTTGGTGAAAACTCTAGAACTCTGTTTAGGTTGAAATTATTATGTGTACATTGATTTAGAGTTCGGTCGGTGGTTATCCCAATATAGGCTACTTGTAACCAATGTATAGGCATTGTTAATGCGATTCTGCGGACCTATTTTCTCGAAATTTCCTGCACAAATGAAGAAAAATACTGAAAAATTTAAGGAAGTGTAAAGTTTCAGTAATAATGATTAATAATTTTATAATCAATATATCAGTCCACTTAAGTAACTTCAGATTTTGGCAGTCCATTTACTAGACAGTTTAGCTAGCACATTATTACTGCTCATGTTTTTTTGTTTTTTGTTGTTTTTTTTGTTTATTGTGTATATCTGTTAATAATTAACAGAAATTTGTAATTTTCTTTAAAATATTTCTAACAATTGAAACTTTCCTTGAAATACTTTCACATTCCTTCCAGTTAGGTTGAATTTTTTACTTTGTACCTTTTTTCTTTACCAACCCTTTATTTTCTATTTTCTTTTTAATATTATTTCATCCTTTTTCATATTTCATTTTTGATACTTACCTTTCTTTTAGTTTTTTTCATTGTCATTTTCTTTCCACCATTTTACTTCTTTCTTTTTTTTTTCTTTCCGTCAGTTTTGTTATTTCTTATTTATTATTTTCTTGTTTTTTTTTCAATATTTAAAATATCTTCTCTTTTTCTTTCATGTCTTCTTTCTTGCATAACCGTAATCCATGGGGACAGTGTAGGTGTGAGTGGGTGGGTGGGGGTTTGTTAGGAAATATAAAGAATAAAATATTGCGCCGCGCTTATGTCTTAGGGGATGCGAAAAGGATGGGGAAATATGTGCTACTAAAAAAATTACTTGTGCTACAAAATTTTTTTGGCGGGTGCAAGAAAATTTTGGCAGTGCTACCAAGAAAAAAAGTTTCCAGCCCTGCCTTTAATAGACCATAGGCCTAATGTGTTTGAAGTACTGACTTTGTCAATATCGAATGGGTGAAATTGCGCACAAACTTCAAACTCTTGGCCTAACATACAATGCCAGAGGAAAGGATATCACTTTTTAGTCACCAAAAAGGATTAGGCCTTCTAATATCATAGTATGGCCCAAAGCAAACGAGTTTCTGGTCTCAAAAATCCAGACACTTCGTTAAGGCTTATACAGTACAAAATACTGTACAGTATATAATTCAATGAAAAAGCTTTAAAATGAAGGACTTTTAAATGAAGTTTATGTATATATACTAATATTTTGCGAATCTTGGGTTTTTAAAAGCAATCTTGGCATTTTTTTTACCCAATCTTGATTGGTTGGTCACGCTGCATTTAAAGACAGAATTATACCACGATGACATCAAACTAGTGTAGGCCTAGGCTTAAGTACAGTAGGACGTACTACTAGGCCTAGGCTTTTGTTGTAAAAGGATGCACCATAGGCCTATATTTAAAAAAAATAATACATTTTGTTAATTATTATTGGTTGGCCTGGGACCTAGGCAGGCAGGCCAGCTTTGACGTCGAAAGTCCTGGGATTCGACGGTGACATCAGTGCACATGTTTACAGACGCCATTGATTGGAATGAAAATAGACGCGCTGAATTTCGTGTGTTTTATGAAAGATTTTATCGAACATTTATCTATATAAACCAAGATTTTAATCTTGGTAAAATATTGTAAAATATTGTAGAAATTGTATTTCTAAAGATTCATATGTAATTCATATTTCATTTGGTAGACAATAAATATTCAGTAAGGTACTAAAAACGATTATTAATTCTGAAATGTGCATCAAATCTCAGCTATTATTAATCAGTATGTATTAGGTTAAAGTCTTAAAACAATAATTTCGAATTAGGCCTAGTAAACAAATGTAATTAAAGTTTAGGTTCCCATGATGTCAGATGACGTATTCAATATGATGCTATATTTTGGGCTCTGACTTAATTTAACGAGGGCCCTGTCAGTTGTAGTAATGACAATATTTGTGCTTTTTTAGCCATGTAGTAAAAATAGTACTATTATTTTCAGTGTACAAGATGAGAGTCAAGAAGAAGTTCAGCTCCTACTTTATTTTGTAACAGGCAACTCTATTTGTTTATATAGGCCTACTGGAAGATTCATTATTTAAGTTAAAACAATGACAAAAATTCTTAAATGTTTTATATATTATAAATAAGCACAGTACATACTTCTTTGTAAATTATTTTATAGGCCTATATAATAACTTGTTTTGTTTTATAATAATAAATGTGTTAAGTATATTAATATTGATTATGCGATGAGGTTTTTTTTTTTGTCTTTCGGTGTGATTTAAACATGCCAAATCTCAGAAAATATTTTCCATTTTATTATATTACCACCTTTTATTACATAGATCTTTTTCAAAACATAACTGCTTTT